TACTGTGTATATATATATATATATATATATATATATATTAAATGAATTTTATTTTTTGTCCACCAAATTAAAGTCATATAAGAAATAATAAAATATTATGCTAAATTGCTAAAGCTTTTCATTTTACCATTTCATTTTTGTAGACTTTTTTGATATATGGATAGTTTTAGTTTTTGACCTTATTCCCTCCAAAAATATCAAAATGAAATGATAATATTAATTCAGAAATTAAATTCATGCTTTTCATAGAAGACATGTATTTATGGGGGGAAAAAAAGATCATCATCATCTCATATGCTATGTGATAGCATGCATTTCTGACAGCCTCTGGGTATGTTTTAAGTGATTGGATGGCTTTTTAAATCAATTGTATGCACTTGTGCTTGAATCAGTTGAAATGGTTTAAGTCTGTCTCTTGTGTGAACATGAAGTGCTGTGCAGTATATCATGTACACTTGATCTGATCTTGTCCATTCCTCGCGTCTTCAGGTGGTCTGGAGGAGCTGTCCGTAGCTCGCCGGTTGCCCAAGGCTTACAGCACAGGCTTTGTTGGCTGCGTGAAAGACGTGATAGTCGACGGGGTGGAACTACATCTGGTTGAGGACGCCTTAAACAGTCCCAAAATTGTACACTGTTCTGCCAAATAGGCTGTCACCACGTTCCTCCCAACACCATGTCTACTGCTGTAATTATTTTTCTATTTTTTGTATACTTTTCTTTGCCTTTTATATTGGAAAAATTACATTGTTGTAATTATAATTTTGTTTTTTGGTTTGTTTGTTTTTCTCCCCATCATTGCGTCCAACAATAATCAAGTCACCAGTCAGCGAACATGGTGTCACAAGACAAGCAGAAAGTCGTATTACATTGAACAGTGGCAGATGAGGTTGGTGCTGTTTGTGCCATCTGGATTGCCTTCTCTCGTCCTGTCCAGCATTCACTATACATTCCTCTGAGCTGTTGCTGTGGTCCATTACTACGTTTAAAAAGGTCTAAAACATGACTTTCTGCTTTATCGACACGACAGCAACTGTTAAAAACCCTGAGCAAGACTATGTACGATATTCCTCATTTATGATACCACTAACAAGGACGAAAGCTCGAAACTTGGAGTACTGATAGTAGCTGACGTAACATTTAGCATTCCTCAAAATTCAGCATTGTTTTTTTTTTCCAATGCAAACATCATTGACCTGTGAGATGTAATAAATAGTAACGAAATACATGAGACTGTGAATTTTGAAGATGCTATTTTTTGTTGCAATCATTCGTCTCATGTGTTGTGCATATCTAAAGAGCAATTACATATATATAAATATACTATATGACCACTTGTTGCATGCATCTTTTTAAGTGTTGCGTTGATTTTGCCTTGGTTTTCTTGATCTTCATCATTCCATTCAGGGCAGAAATGTAGCTGACTACATTGCAATCTTGACATCTGATCATTCAAGTTGGGAGATATTGAAATTTTATATATATATATATATTGATCAATTAAATGTATCTTTGCCGAATAAAATTACAAATTTCTTTCAAAAAAATAAAACTAAATAATTATTATAATAATTAATTAAAATATATATGGCTGGCCCCTTTCAAAAAGTAGTGTATATTACTTAACTATGCAATAATTACTATTACTATTATTATTATTATTAGGGTTATTTTTTCTTTTTTTTTTTTTTTTTTTTTTTTTTTTTACAAACCCTGGATCACGCAAGATCGTAATTGTCACCCTGTGATTTTTCGAGTGTAAATTTGTTACTGAGGTTTTGTTTTAGTATTATACACTGGAAGCCCGTCTGGGATCCGGGGAAAAACGATCATTTATGTGTCTAGGGTTTGATCGGCCGTCAAGACCGAGACCGGGAGCCCTTCGTTTCTGCACGAGCTGTATGGACCATCCGCCCTTTTTAGTATAGCGCCCTCACCTTCACTTTTCCAGCGGACTGGATTTTTGATCTCTTTTGTATTAATGGGAGTTATTTTTTGACATCCTCCTCCAGTAGCTTTGCTCTCAAGGGACGAGGCTCATGGTGAGAACCGCCATGGAAATCTGCTGCGTGAATGGAAACTGAGAAATGCCTTAAAATCATTCACCGTTCATGGGTGACAAAAGTTCATGTCCATATTGTTCTGTGCTCTCACCTTAGCCAGTATATTAGCCTCATTCCCATCATGTAAATTAATTCATAAATGTTAATAATTATATTAATAATGCTTATGAGAATTTCCAGAAGGCCTCGATAATAGTGGTTCTGGACTCTACAAAAATACTATTTACTGTACAAATACTATTTTCAGTATCTTATTTATGTCTTAAAAGAATTCTCAGTCTGGCATTTGTAAACTACTGTTTTGATTTAACTAGATCTGATGGGCAGTGCACAGAATGAGAGGCATGATGTTACCATTACTAACTTTATTACTTGTGTCTTGTGTTCCAACCACCATAAAATACAATGTAAAACAAACTGACCTGACTTTCTGTAACATTTACTCCTGATAATATCTGTGAATAAATCCCTCCGTTCCCAAATTGTCTAATCCAGAGTCTCCATATATTACAAAAGTTTGGGATTGGTACGATTTTTATTTTATTTATTTTTTTTTGTGTGTGTGTTTTTCACCACTGCTGCATTTATGTATTAAAAATACAGTAAAAACAGCACCATTGTGAAATATTACAGGTTAGAATAACCGCTTTCTATTTTAATACATTTTCAATTGAAATTTATTCCTGTGGTGACAAAATGGCTTTACTGTGTATTTTTATCCATTTAATGCATCCTTGCTGAATAAAAGTATTTATTTAACTATATATATATATACATATGTATATATAGTTACATATATAACTATATGTATGTATAGTTAAATATATATATTGAATGCACAGCCTTTTATGTCAGCAACATATAGAAAGTTTCTGAAATGTTTCTCATTCTTAAAAGCTTATAAGACTATTTATTTTGCTATCTTTACTATATACAGTGCCTTGCAAAAGTATTCTTATGCAATGTACTTACTTCAGTTTTTTTATTTGTAATAAATTTACGAAGTTGTGACAATTCTGTTTTTGCTTTGTCAGTATGGTGTATGGAGTGTAGATTGATGTGGAAAAAAGTAATTTAAAGCAGTTTAACATAAGGCAGCAACATAACAAAACGTGAAAAAATATATATGAATACTTTCGCAAGGCATTGTATTGTTATAATATTGAAGTGTCCTGAAATAACACTAAATAAGAATATTTTATTGTGTTCTTACAGTAATGTCTTAACTTATAAGAGAGAGAGTGTATTATTCAGTTATGTAACAGACATTCTCTTAAGGGGATATAAAATGTCATCAGACATGACAAGCTCGGGGTTGCCTGGAGACGTTAGAGAAACAGATCTTGTCAAAGAACTCTGGCACTAGGGGTAAAAATGGTAAATGGAAAAATCCATTGGATTTCTCTGCATAGGAGAAATCATATGAATGATCCATGCTAGACGAGCAGAGGGTTTCTTCAGTACACATGCTCACAGCAGTGCAATAAAGAGGCTTTTACTGCATGTAACAAGGCTTCAGCTGTCTGGCTACATCAGGGGATCTGTGGCTCCCATTGTTCCTCCTCATGGGGTTTTAGTTTGGACTGAAGAGTCCTCGGGCTGTAAAGTCGAGGGGTGTCTTGGAACAGAGCTTGTCTGCAGCACTGGCTCTTCCTTTAGTGAATGATTTCCTTAAAGGAAAATTCACACAAAAATGAAAATAGTTCCAAACTAAGATAACCATGTCATTTTCAACAGCATAATCATCAACCACGTCTCATTTTGTTACTAAATGCATCCCAGTTTTGAATGAATCGTTAAGTGATCGAATCAATGACTCACTCATGAATACAGTCACTTGTTTCATTCACAGCAAAATCCCCAGAGTTAAATCAACTCTGCTCAGAGTACATATTGTCCCAATCTACAGAGTGTTAAAGTAACACTGAAGCAGTTACCACTGTTGAGGATTGTGTGGTAAGTTTTCATGTCTAAAAGCATGAGCAGTAGTTGTTCATCTTCAACATTGTTAACAGCGGGGTTTCTTTACTAATGCTCAATCATTACTTAATTAATCGCTTAATTATCCCATTAACTTTAACTTGGCTTCAGTGTTACTTTAACACTCTGTAGATTGGGACAATATGTACTCTGAGCAGAGTTGATTTAACTCTGGGGATTTTGCTGTGTTCCAGTGTTTTCGAATGAATCAGCTGAGAAATTGATTAAATAAATATATAGTGTAATAATATATAATTAAAGCCACAGTCCGTAACTTTTTTTGGTTAAAAATTATCCGAAATCAATATTTGATCAAGTACATAACCAGCCAGTGTTCAAAACCATCGCCTTATTTTAGCCCGATTCACAAGGGTTAGCTTACTGTATAATAATGTTTTCTAATGAGTGGTACGGGTAGGTTTTCGCGGGAAATTCGAGCATGCTGCCGCGTCATTAAGTCATGTCTGTAAACAAAAAGAAGTTGTCCCGGCTACTAGGCTATCGCATGTGAGGATCCTGCAGGTGGCGGATCGTTTATAGCCTTTTCTCACAGCAGCTAGAATAATTAAATGTATCATTTTGATGGTGGATTGTAATCCAGAAAGGACTATGTGTTTATGAAACACATGTGAATTAAATTAAATTATATTCCAGTTTTAAATGTGCTTCTGATTACAGATTACACAAGATTTGTATTTTAAAGACAACCAGTTCGAATGGAGCATAATTAGCTTTTTGGGTTAAAATAATTTCTTAATATGAAATTCAAATGGTATGACAATTTGAGATTAGACTGTACAGAAATTGAAATCTACACGCTAATACACACTATAGGCAATGCTGATGTTGT